GTGTTTCTGTTTTATGTGGGAATTAAAACATAATAGAAGGGCTCTAAAGACGAACTGAGAAAAAATATAAGGCCAGGCCCTGGCCGATGTGCCTCAGTGGGTTGGAGCGCTGTCCCACACCCCACAAGGCTGCAGGTTTGACCCCCGATCAAGGCGCACACCCAGGTTGTGGGTTTGATCCCGAGTTAGGGTGCAAATGGGAGGCAACTGATTGATGTTTCTTTGTTATATGGATATTTCTCTCTCTTCCTCTGTTCCTCCCTTTGTTACAGAAACAACCCCACTCCCCTGGCATCTGTTTTACTATGGCTCTTTGCCTGCTGCTGTTAGGAACTATGGCTCTCAATGCCAGAGTTTGGTGAAAAGGAAAGGAACTATTTATCAAAACTTATACAGGTTTAGAGTAATGGTGGAATGTCACCGTTAAAATCCCAAAGTCCCTTTAAAACACCCACCAACGCATATGCATAGTCTTACCTTCCCCTCTTTGCCCAGTCAGGCCAGTCAGGGGCACCGTATCTCAGGAAAAGAAAGTAGAAGTCTGTAGCTTGGCTAGGCTCCTGTTCTTCATCCAAACCTCATCCTTGTGGTGGGCGGGTGGGAGTCCTTCTGCCTTCTTTCAAACCGCTAAGACAGAGCTCTGCATGGCCGCTGCATCTTGCTTTCCTGCTTCCTGAGCCACGTGGTCAAGAGACCCCCCTCTCCTCTTCCCAAAACTGTTAAACCCCAGCATGGCTGCCATGCCTGGGTTTTAATCCTGGTGTGGATCTTCCTCGATAACCCTGTTTCCAACTCCTTCCACAATCAGCTACACACACTCCCCTATTCTCTGCCTTTCTTGGCTGCCATAGTTAGTTCAGGCAGGTGTGGCCCCGAGGCGTGGAGCGAACCACCTCCAAGCTCCTGTGCAGGCACTGTAACCGCTGTAAACCTGTGGGTTCGGGGGTGGCGGGGAGCTGCCTCCCAGCTACATCATGGGTCAAAGTCATGCATGTCTCCCTGGCTCTGTGCAGGCTGTGAAGCTAGCCTGCTGTTATTAATATACAAAATAACTCTTAATCCCTGCTGCTGCTGCTGCTGCTGCTGCTGCTTTTCCCAGCCCCCAAGCTAGGCTTGTGCGGGGCCTTGGGGCCTCTCAGCCTACACCTGGTCACACCTTCCCCCCCTCTAATATCAATAAGCCTGTTCATGGGTAAGGATAAAAAAATTAAGATCAGGTCTGGTTATGTTCAATCATGGTTTGCTGACACATTTCATTAACAGTGATTACAAATGAAATTTTGATCCTCTTTGCTGTAGCTGTTACCACAGAAAGGTGTTTGTTTTTATGAAGGGGAGTGATTCTCAAAACTAAGCCAATCTAGCAAGACGAGGTTTTCTTGAAGTAATGTTTATTTAAAGGTACGCTTCAGAGTAAACCATCTTTAGGAAGGTATGCAGCCTATACTGGCTACTGCAATACATCCAGAATTTAAAAAAAAACTTTCCGATATAATATAAATTACTAAAGCTCTACAGATAGGTACCTGTATTACATACAATCTTCAAATATTTTCAAAAGTTAAAATTATGTATTCATCGGTATTTAAAATTTTAAAGCCCACGGACAAATAACTAAATGGTTAAGAACTTGACAAACTAAGATTTTTGTCTCAGTTGCTTGTTGCTAGCACATTCACTCACATACAATTTGAGATTCTAAACAACGTGATTCGGCCACAGTTCAGAGGCCTTGGGATGAGAGTGGTATTAGGCTATAAATCATCCTTTTCCGCAGGAAAAGACAGATTCCAAGAGGGCAACTGCTGTGTTATCATTTTTCACGCTATGGACTGGATCAGAAATCCTTTAGAAAACACCCTAGATGTGCAGCTCATTTCCCCACTGCAGTTTGCTCTCTTTCCATTAGATGGCAGTAACATACCATTGCTCTAACTATAAGGTCAGAAATTAAGAAAGCTAAATTTTCTCTAAATCCAAATTAATGGGGTTATAACAATTTGAGAGAAGAATGAAGAAAAGTGATTTTAAAGAGATCATAGGGCCAAAATAGGGCTGGTTAAGGAAAATAAGAGAGACAATTAATGAATAAAAGACATCTATGGGGAAGGTATTAAAGAAATTCTTCTAAATATTAAAAGGATGCAGAGGAGAAAGGAAATGAAATCTAGACATCTCGGTCCCCACTTCAGACTGAAGAAAAAATGAGGCATTAACTTTTGACTTAAAAAAGAACAATTTAGTAGAACACAAAGGCTACTCTCATTTAAAAAAAAGATTTTACTTACAAGGTCTGTCCAGAAAAAGTCCAGCCATGGTTAATAGAATGGTTGGCACAGCAATCAACAAGATGTAAACTGGCAGCCAAGGAGAGTGGACTGGAATGCGCATGCGTGAACAATGATGACTTCACTGTACTAGTCAGTGGGGGAAGTAGAAGCCATTGAGTGAGATGTGTACTGTGTGGCCATTACATTAAAAATGTTTGAACAAGTAAAGCACCAAGTCTGCATCAAATTTTGCATTAAGCTTCAACATTTCTCTATGGTAACTATTGGGATTATTCAGAGGGCTGCACCTATGGGCGACTGGTGACTGGCAGCTTCATCATGGCAGTTCACCTGCATGTATCACATGTCTTGTGCAGAGTTTTTCTGGTGAAGCATCAAATCATCCAGGCAGCTCAGCTATCCTACAGTGCCCTGCAACTTCTGGTTTTTCCCAAAAGTAAAATCACCTTTGAAAGAGAAGAGATTTCAGACCATCAATGAGATTCAGGAAAATATGAGGTCCCAAGATGCCTACTTTGAAGGGGACTGAGGTGTCATTGTTCTATGTGCACTGTTTCTTGTATCTTCTTCAATAAGTGTCTCTACTTTTCCTATTACATGGCTGGATACCTTCTGGACAGACCTCGTATTATTATATTTTTTTAGAGAGGGGAAGGGAAGGGAAAAGAGAGGGAGAGAAGCATTGATTGGTTGCCTCCTGCTCGGCCCCAGCTGGGGGTGGGAGGGTGGGGAGACTGGGCCTGAAACCCAGGGATGTGCCCCCGACCTGGAATCAGACTGGCAACCCCCCTGCTTTGTGGGATGACACCCAACCAACTGAGCCACACCAGTCAGGGCAAACCTACCCTCATTTGAAAAGCAACTGTTTAGTACTATTTTCCCACCTGTGCCAAAATTTTTTGCCTGTCTCCAGAGATTATCTGTTCACTTCCCCGTTCTGTGGCAGATGCCAATAATGAATAACAACTCAGCAAAATATGGAGGCTTCAAACAGCAAAAATAAAGGCTCTTTTTATAGATGCTTCTTAAGAAAGGAGTTTGAATAACTTCAGAGGACACATCTGTCCCTCATAGAGAGTAGGCATATCAATATTTACCTTTTTGTGCACATATTAACATTTCTCCATTATTTTATTCCAGTGTATTTAAATAAACACAATTCCAAAGGTTGAAATCCAACCTGATAGAAACAGCTATGGTAGGAAAGTAAATAGAAAAGTCCTTTTCCCTTCTACTCTTATAGGCCTGAAACAGAGCAATTAAGTAAGCTCATCTAATATTAACCCAGAAAAGGGAGTTACTTTTAAAAGGGGGGGTGATAGCTCTGGCCAGGTGCCTCAGTTGGTTGGAGCGTGGTAGAAAAAACACAGATGCAGGAAGCTCTATGGATGCAATATTCAAGGCAAGCGAGCACAAATTTGTTCAAAGACACTATTTTCTCCAGAGAGAATCAAAAAGCATTCTGGGAGACATAATTAACTCAAGAGAATGAAGACTACAGGAAAACACGTATCAAGACAAAATGCCGAAAAAACCCAAGCATTCAGAGCTCAGAGAGGAAACTGTCAGAGAGCTTCAGATCATCTGGCCCGGGAAGCTTAACAAGGAAGCCCAGGAGGGACACCCTGCTGGGCCTAATTGTTTTCAGAAGGAATGGTACTTTGTGCCACCACCCAGCTGTGAATTCCCTGGCTTTTGTCAGCTTGTGTCACAACCTGAAGAAGAAAACAGTAGCTTAACCCCCGTTACTCATTTACTGTAACCTCCTGTACAACTGTGAAGAAACTGGTCTATAAATAAACTCCACATGTCCACTTTTGATTATATAAGCAAAATGGTATGACTGTCACAGAAAAATTGTATAGAAAAAGCACAATACTGAGCATTTCCCATACGATTTGCTAGGAGCTCAATAAATAATGTATCAGGTCTGCTTTCAAGGTGTTAGTTCATTACACATTCATCACAGTTGCTGGGTGTGGGCCAAGAATCATTTCATGCACAAAGAAACTTTTTGCAAAGCTTTTAGTATTTATTAAAATTAGGATAACTGGTTTATTTGGTTTGTAGAATAAGTCTAAGTAAAAAATAAGGTTTCATTTCTAGAACATTAAACTAAAAATAATTTTAACACAATGAATTTGTTGTATATGCAAGGTAATAAATATTTGTTGAATGGAACTGGGACTATGGATACTAAAGATTAAAAAAAAGTCTTGTACTAAAGATAGAGTACATGAGCCAATACACATTTAAACAATTCTATCAGTACTTGAAAAACAGAACACTCTTTATTAATACAACCATTGGGGTCCAGCAAGAAACAGTTTCTCTCAAAATTTTAAATCAAAGATCACACAACCCTTGGGCTACAATCTTAAGTGAATAAGGAAGCAAATATTTACTAACCTCTAAGTTATAATTGTAAAATGAGGACTAATAACTAGAAAGATATGTTTTCCCCCAAATTACCCCAATCAATACTTTTTGGTGTGTATTTCAAAGAAGCTGCACAGGTTACCTTGTCATGGGTGACGGCTAGCACTTTTGCACCTGGCCTGGCTCTGGGAGCCCCGATGCAGCCTCCAGAGCACAGACTCCTGTGCAGCTGTAATTGCAGAGCCGCCCACCACAGTGGTCTTCTCACAGCCTGCCGTTCCTACCTCCCTGTTTTCACAGTAAGTAAACTGGAGACATAAGTTCACAATATTTAAGGATAACAATAGTATCAGTATTGATTTAATACCTTAAGCAGAGTTAGAGAAAAATCTCAAGTCTTTTAAAATATTTTTATACAGTGTGAACGGTCTGCCTTGTACAGCATGAGAGACTTTGCAGGCTTTAGTGACCCAGTTCATACAATCAGATCCTAGAGTTATAAACATGTGTTTAATTTACTCTAAAAATACAAGGCAAGTGTAATTTTAGGGACAAAAATTAAAAAGTTTTGTAACAACCATAATGCACAAAGATGAAATCAAAGGTATCAGAAGTTCTGTGTAATTATCCAATGAGAAAACAGTTGTTGAGCTTTGTAAATTTTCAAATTTTTAAAAAATCAGAAATGAAATCATTGTTGTGTTCATTATACAGTTCAGAATTATAGTAATGCCAGTGTTTAATTATATTGGTGATTGTTTTTAAATATTTTTTAATATTTTAATTACAGTTGGCATACAGTATTACATCAGTTTCAGGTGTGCACCCCAGCGATCGTACATTATATAGCTCACAAAATGATCATCCCAAGATGTCTTGTACCCATCTGACACCATATAGAATTACTAGATTATCGACTGTATTCCCTATGCTGTACTTTTCACCCGTATGAATGTTCTGTAACTACCAATTTGTACTCCTTAATCCCTTCACTCTTTTCACCCACTCTCCTCTCCTGCCCTTCTGGCAACTGTCAAAATGTTTTCTGACTCTTTGAGTCTGTTTCTATTCAGTTTATTCATTTTGATTTTTAGATTCAATTGTTGATATATATTTATTGTCATTTAATTGTTCATATTTTTAATCTATTTTTATCTTCTTAAAGAAGACCCTTTAACATTTCATGTAATACTGGTTTGGTGGTGATGAACTCCTTTAGCTTTTTATTGTCTGGGAAACTCTTTGTAGGGCCTTCAATTCTAAATGATAGCTTTGCTGGGTAGAGTAATCTTGGTTGGTCCTTGCTTTCCATCACTTTGAATACTCCTTGACAATTCCTTCTGGCCTGCAAAGTTTCTGTTGAGAAATCAGCTGACAGTCTTATGGGAACTCCCTTATAGTTAACTACTTTTCTCTTGCTGCTTTTAAGATTCTCGCTTTACCTTTAACCTTTTGCATTTTAATTATGTGTCTTGGGGTGGGCCTCTTTGGGCTCATCTTGTTTGGGACTCTCTTCACTTCCTGGACTTGCATTTCTATTTCCTTCACCAGGTTAGGGAAGTTTTCTGTCATATTGTTTCAAAGAGGTTTCCAATTTCTTATTCTCTTCTCCTGGCACCCCCATGATGGAACATTGGCATGCTTGAAGTTATCCCACAGACTCCTTACACTATCCTCACTTTTTTGGGATTCTTTTTTCTTCCTTATATTCCAAATTGCTGACTTGATTCTTGTCTTCATCCACTGTACTGTGAGTCCAAGTTATTTTTCATTTCATTTAGTGTATCCTTCACTTCTGCCTGATTTTTATGTTTTCATGTCTTTTTTTATGCAGTTGAAGTTCTAAGTTCATTAAACATCCTTATAACCAGTGTTTTGAACTCTCACAACCCTTGGGGGTACAATGTACCAATTTGGTACATTGCTTATCTCCATTTTATTTAGTATTTTTTTTCCTTGAGTTTTGTTCTTTCATTTGGGACATGTTTCTCCATCTCATTTTGGGAGCTTCCCATGTTTGCTTCTGTATATTAGGCAGAGCTGCTATGTCTCCCAGGCTGGTAGAGTAGCCTAATATAGTAGGTGTTTGGTAGGGTCCAGTAGCACCTGAGCTGGGCACTGCAGGTGTGCCCTCCGCCAGTGTTTGTCCTGTATACACCCTCCTGTTGTAGTTGAGCCTTGTTTGTTGTTGGCATGTCAGTGGGAGGGACTGACCCCCAGCTGATCAGCTGCAAGGACTGGCTGTAGCCACCATGGAGGATCAGCTACACAGGGACCCACCCCATGGAACAGGACTTACTTCAGTAGAACTCTGGCACCTGCTGGGTCCACCTCTTGAGTGTGTTGCTTGTGGAGGTGGTTGGGTGGTGCTTCAACGTGGTGTGAAGCTGTCTACTGGGTGCAATGGCTCTGGGGTCTCCCTAGAGGTGCAGGCCAAGGGCTGCTGCCACCTGTGTTCTCCCTGGGGCCTCCTGGCATGAACTACAAAGTGATCTATAGATGCTGCTGCTTGTGCTGGGCTTGGAAGGCCCAGGAGATGCCGAACTGTGAATTAAGGCCACCTGCTGCTAGTGCCAGGCCTGGGGCAAATCAGCAAGAGGTACTGGGCAGGACAAGACTAAATGATGCTTTTTCGAGAAAGTCTAAGAAAGTGAAGCAGGAGCCAAGACAGGCCATTCGTATGGAAAAGCCACAGGAAACAATGGGGATGGGCCTGGTGGGACAGGGTCTCAGGGAATCACCAGCGCAGGGCAACGACAGCCAGGCTGATGGACACTCAGATATGGGGGGAGGTCTCAGCAACAGCCTCTGCCAGCGCTTCTGTCTGGGAAAAAGCTGCCCCTCCAGCCCTTCTTCTCACACCAGATAATTCCACTCCTCCCCGTATGTCCCTATGTCCCTGGTGCCCTCTGAGCTGTTGCCCCAGTGCCGTAGCTTAGAGAGAACGAGTCCAAATAAGTCTACGCACAGGCCCTTTAACAGGGACTGGCTGGGAGCCCAGAAGCCCTCTGTCTCTCCGAACTAATCCCTGCTGGTTTCTAGAGCCAGAAATTATGGGGACCACTCTCCCTGGCACTGGAACCCTGGACTGCGGGGCCTGGTGTGGGGTTGGGACCCATTGCTCTTCAGGGTGACCCCAGCAGCCAAGATATCCCTCCCGATTTTTATCTATCACATGTGGATGTGGGACCAGCCTGTTCATGTCTCTGCTCCTCCTACCAGTCTTGATGTGGCTTCTTCTTTATATCCTAAGTTGGAGGACTTCTGTTCAGCCAGATTTCAGCCAGTGCTGGATGATGGTCGTTCCATAGTTTAGTTACAATTTCGATGTGGCTGAGGGAGGATGCGAGTACCACATTTACCCTCTCCACCATAACTGGAAGCCACAGTTGGTGATTCTTAACTCATCCTTCCTATTTATGTTTACGTTACTGATTTGCTGAAATGATGAAAAAGCTCACAGAGATAGAGAAAGCACAAATTTTCTTAGAAGGCTTACCACAAAATAACCCTTATGCCAGGTCCTAAAGTTGTGAATTTTCATGGACTGTGGAGCTGAACTAGCCACCCGAGAAAGACAGTTTTCTCTAAGGTCCACTTTTCCCTTACTCTCTGCCATTCAGCTTTTTGTCCAAGAAGGGATCCGATGCCATTTTTTTGCTGTCTTATGTAAGAGCCAAGTATATTTGTGTTGGTGTGTTTGTGAAGACCAGGCGTTCCAGGAGACAATTAGCGCATCCCTGGAGAACTTCGATATTCCCGGACTCCTAACTTCGCTGAGGGCCGCACCAGAGAGAACACCCAGTCTGGAGAGTGGAGGCTACTGGTAAGTTATGATTTCTTCCTACAGAACTACTTAGCAGGGAGAAGAGGGACAGGTCAATAACCAAGTGTCATGGAATGGATTCAAGCCCAAGACTTTCTGACTTATTAAGGAAGGAAGACTTCCACTTCCTACCAATCATTACAGCACAATCCAGCCTTGTGCCCTGAGATGCTGGTGGAATGCCGATGCCCTCCTAGGTGTGAGAGGTCCAGCCAGGGCTTTCCGTGGCTGAACTTTAGTGTAGCTTGTTGTGCACGGGGTAGAGTAAGGTCATGTGTTCTGCCCCCTTGAAAGGCAACTTCTCATTGGAATAATAGTGTACCACTTCGGGGATGCTGTCAAATACCGCGCTGGTCTGGTTCAGCGTGTACTTGTTGTCCTTGGTCTGAGCCACTATGATGTGGACGCATCCTTGACTAGTCCTGGAACAAAACAGAAATCAAGGAGGAAGACATGAGTGAGCGAACAGGGGAACCCCTCCCCACTGAAAACACCCCAGCCAGATTCACAGGCGGACAGGTTTTCATTCATTCCTGGAACTGTTATAAACAAGTGCAGCCCTCCACAAATGTGTGTCCTCTTTGCGTTGTCTATCTTTAGTACACATAAGCTGTCAGATACTAGAAAAGAAACACAAACACCACAAAGAAGTCCAGTCCCTCTTGGCCCCCAAATTGCCAAACTAGTGCTTAAGCCCAAGCATGAGACTGCTAAGGTGAGGTTTAAATGCACGCTCTTCATCGCAGCCAAAAGGACATGTGTAAATTTCCCTCCTTCTTTCCTCCCCAAAGAATACATTAAGAATAATAATTTAAAAAACTGTTTCCTCCTCTCCCTCTCTCCCACCCCACCTCAATCTGGAAAGACTGTCCCTGGTTCCATATAATGACAGCTGGCACCAAAGGCTTCAAGATCTAATCCGTGAGTGCCGGTTTCAGGAACATAGCAAAGCTATTCCTGGTATTGTGTATCTGCTGGCCTATCCCGTTTTCTGAGCTACTTTGCTCAAACACCCTCCCGTCCCAACCTCTTTCCCCGCCCCCGCCCCCCCCCAGCCTGATTGTTTCAGCTGCAGGGGCTCAGCTTCCTCAGGAAGGAAATGCCGTTAGGGCGCTTGACAATGATCCTCCAATATAGCACCGCTGGACTCGAGCAGCCGAGAGAATTTCCATGATTCAAGCTCCACTGGGCCTACCAGGCAAAAATGGATGTTCTGTGTCCAGTGAGAGAAGGAACTAATAGCAAGTCAGCATTTTCTTCTTCACCAGAAGAAGCGGGTATCAAAATTGACTTGGCATTTGAACAATCAAGGGATCTAATTTATTAAAATCCCAAAACACTAGGGAGTGAAAGAAGAATGGCTGAAGTATCCTGTAAGATATTATTCTTTTTATCAGGAGCCATTTCTCTGGTGAGAGGACCTACTTTAGATCGAGTATACAAGACAGAAATTGACTAATGTACAGAACCAATTTTGTATCCTAATAAGAGCGTTTCCTATCCATTGTCCAAGCAAATGCATCGTGTTTTCTGGCAACACACGCCCCTGTGAAGCACCTGGAAATAATATCTCTTTTGACTGGTCATCTGACCAGGACAGGAAAGACCAACACGGAGCAACCCCCGCCCCCCGCCCCTGTATCCAAACGGGACACATGAGGCCACCGCACTCACTTCAGTGCAATGGAGTACCGACTGGTCCCCGATTCGCTGTTCCGAACCAGGTAACCGGCTTCTTTGCAGGGCTGTAGTCGACTCTCAGCCTCAGCGCGGGTGATGGCACCATGATACCAACTGAAAAATGGAGTTGGGGGAGACACCACAAGCGTCAAGAAGAAATCTAGGAGAGAGCTACCGGGCTAGTGTCATTTTAAAAGTTTCCACTCTACTACATAGGAAAATGAAATTTAAACTCAGGCTCTTGGGATGCAGTACACTTTCCATTCTGCACAAGTGCACTGGGCTTTGAAGGTGGGCTTTCATTACCAAGCCCACCCAGACAAATCTTCACGAGCAGCAATAATCGGGTAAAAATGGGCCAGTGCTTGCCCCACCCGCAGGCTGTGGATGCGCTGCCAGCTGCTGTTTGTTACGTGGCTGTGGGGGGAACTCACGGCTGCTTCTCCAGCGGCAGGGCTGGGTCCACCCTTTCCCCCTCACTGTGGTCAGAGAGCGCTGGCTTCAAGATCTTCGGGGTCCAGCTCTTCTGTCGGTGGTGCTGCCGCACCGTCTCCTCCTTTGTGGAAGGTCGCTCAGAGCCTTCAAACTGAACTGGAAGGAAGGCTCCATTTAACATCAGAGGCCACCGAGGTGAACCAAGTAAACCTCAAGGAAAAAACCTCTTTGTCTGCCTCGGCTTGAGAAAGACGCTTTCCCCTCCCTTCACTGTGAGGTAACGTTCTACAAACGCCGGGGACAGCCGCGCCCCGCTGTCTTTGGTGTCTGATCCCACTGCAGCATCCAGACAGCCACGTTTTCTGTGAGATACTCATCACTGTAAAGCAGTTTCACAACATGAGAGGGAACCACCTTAATATATTTCAGCATGTACTTAAAAAAAACCTCTAAGTTGTGGTATATTTAGAGTAAAAGACTAAATGTAGTTACAGGTGATGATTCCTTGCAAGAGTGTGTTTCATTCTATGAAATCCAGAGAACAGTTCTTACTGTGAAATAAGAAAACAAAAACAAACTGCTGAAGTTGCAGAAAGTAACTACTGAAAACTGCCTTACGGATGCCACGTCATCCAGGCTGGAGAGAACAGAGGGGCAATGGGCGCACCCAGCGCACGTGCCCAACAGAGATTTGTGACCAGGAAGACTGAAGGGACACTCGAACTGACCTGAATGCTTGCCATCAGGTGTGTACTACCTTCTCTGCTCACCCTTTACATTGACTAAACATTTAATCACAAACTGGGCTTTACTACTGGGAGGAAAAGACATCCCTAACTTTAAAAATCAAAGGCAACAGAATTTATGTGGTCAGTCAAGTAGAAAAACTACGTCCTGGGAGAAGCAAGAGGGCCAATTACCTTTAATAACTACTGACAACCTATCGCCTTCCTCGTAAGTTACTTTAAAAATTCATACTTAAGAATGAATTCCTTTAGAATTTTTTACCAAAAGTAAAAATTTTAAAAAAGCTGGCTTCATTCAGCTTTCCAACCATCTCTATCTGTAATCCACTTGATGCCATTTTATAAATAGGGATTTTAGCACCAAGTAAGAGCTAGAAAAGTTGCTGGCTATTAGAATGATTCAGTGATCTAGTAAGGTTTTTCAATAGTCATTTAAAGCATTTCCAAAAACAGCTGTGCCCTGTGAAGAGAAAGGAAAACAAAGATGCCCAGAAGGGTGAGTGAGAAATGCAGTATTAAGGGCTCTTCTTCAGTCCTGGTCTTCCAACCAGGCCCACTTATTGTTTCCCTGACCAAATTCCTAGGAAACAGACTTGCGGTCGAGGAAGTAAAAAACATGGCTCTGGCTGAAGGCTCTGGAGGACCCAGGTCTCCCAGCAGGGCAGCAGGGAGCGCAGGGGGCACCCTTCGCCGGACACGCGCCCCAACCCGCCCCTCACCTGAAAGCGCGCGCACGATCTGCTCCTTCTTCCACTCCCACGGCTGCTCGTACTCGGCGGCCGGCCGCTCATCATCCTCGGGCAGCGGGCCGTGGGCGTCCGGGGGCCGCGCCTTCCGCTCCGGGCCCCCTTCGGCCGGCTCGTAGGGCGTGTCATACAGCTGCGGCGGCTTCCCTAGCAGGTCCTTGGAGCTCCGTCTCTTGGCCAGCGCCTCGGGCTTCGTGCCCATCTCCCCTGGCTCACAGGGGCTGTCGAGCAGCTGAAGGGCCTTCACTAGGGGGTCTTTGGACCCTCGGCGTCTAATTTCTGAAAAACATGCAGCACACAGAACACTTTGAAAGAAATGTGCCACGGAAGCCTGGTAATTCACAGAAGTCCCTGTTCCCCCAAGACTGTCTGTGTGGTGGAAGGTGACGGAGACTGCCAACATTGTTCCTTCGGGGCCAGCTACTTCCCAGCTGCAGGATGGAGCCTCCCTCCGGGCCGGACAACGGGATGGGGTCACACGCAGCATTAGAGATCACATCTGAAGACAGGCGTGCCCTGGGGGCCACCTGCAGTTTGTGGGAGCAGAAGTGTGCCAGTCACTGGGCCTGTGCTGCTTCTGAGTGTGGTTCGCTTGCAGTTTTCACATGTTGTTAGGAAGCTGGGATAAAAGTATTTTCATAAAAATTGATGGAGTGTTTACTATCTTCAAAGCATTGGGCATTAGAGTTCTTGACCTCTGGGTGGTTTCAGTATGGTGGGGGAAGCCAGACACACTCATGGATAACACATAACAGTGGTGTACTATGCACTATTCTAAATGCATTGCAGTTTTCACAGCCACTCTATGAAATGGGCACTAGCACCCTATTTTCAGACCATAAGATGCACCTAGGTTTTAGAGGAAAATAGAAAAAAAATTTTTGAAGCAAAAAAAATGTGGTAAAGTATTTATTAACATAAATAACATACTATTTCACCAATGGAAATGTAATGCTACATTCGGACTATAAGACTCACGTCCCTTTCCCTCCCAAATTTGGGGGAAAGTGCGTCTCATAGTCCAAAAAATGTGGTAATTCCCCGATACCAGAGCAAACTGAAGCACAGAGAGTTGAAGGAAATTGTCCAAGCTATTAGGTGGCAGAGCCTAGATTCCAAAGCAGGAAGTTGGGCTCCAGAAGCCATACTCTTCACCACTAAACTTGGACTGACTCCAAGTGGAAGAGAAATGGAAGGTGAGTTGACTCTGATAGAGAAGGTCATTTCCAGTGGAGGAAGCTGCATGGGTGAAGATATGGAGGTGGGAACCATGGAGGGCTTGTTCCCAGAAAGGACAGCTGAGAGATAAGTTCAAAGGACAGAGGCCAGGAGAGGGGAGCGGTAGGGGGGAGAGCAGCCGGAGGCCTGGCAGGCCAGGGCACCACAGTGCAGAAGTTGTAAAGGCAAGGATGCACTGCAAAATGATTGTTTTTTTAGGAACAGGCAATAACAGTTATATTTTATTTTGTTGGAAGATAACTCCAACACAGTATACAGTATAGAATATGCCAGAAAGATGTGGTCTGGACTAAGGCATAGAAATAGATGTAAAAAACCTGATGCACACCAACCAACCGTCACCCAACCTGCCAGCCAACCACAGTGGGAAGAAATCAGAAGACCCTTAGGGACTGACCAGCTCCGAGCCCAGAGGCCTTGGCAGGTGGAGTGGAAGATGCTCACAGTCTGGACAACCAGAGCTGGTGACGCAGACCAACAGAAGCATTACAGGTTCCTCTAAATGTCCATCAGGAAGCCTTCCATCTGCCCCCTTGCTCACAGTCAAGGAGGACCTTTCTAAACACAAACATCTCACCTCATCCCTTAACACCCCCATACACTCTTAGCTGTCTACTTTAAAGGTACAGACTGCTCGGCTTAGCATGGGGGGCCTTCTGTGACCAGGTCACTGTCTCCCTCTCCAATTTCTTCTTTCAACACTACCATTCCTGTCCCTCTGGAATCCAATCCTTTGTTCCAACAAATGGAACTTGGGAAGTTCCCTGAGTACTACACTGCCTTGTACCCAGTAATGTCTGGGTGATTTTCCACCCTTCGAAATCTGACCAAGCTTCTCTTCCTCTAACCCCCCACCTCTCCCAGGGACCACCACTCCGCCAACCACTCTCACCTCGCACTGCCCCCACTGCGCCGATCTGCTTGTTGCTGTGCCTGTTTGGTGGGGACGGCCAGCGCAGGGGCCACCACCATCTCGTTTATGTTTGTTGGACACAGAGTTGTGCTAAGTAATAACTGGATGGATGGGAGGAGAGAGACAGGTAGGAGCTTTAGAACTTCTCCCAGCAGGTGACAGTATAGTTCCAGGGCTCAGCAGAGAGATGAAGGACAAAGTTACATGTCAAGGAGTTACGCACCAATGAACTGTCGTCAGTACTGCGGGAGTGAAAGGAGGCAGACTGAAAAGAGGATGGAAGGCAGGGTCTGGGGCTTCTTCAGTGAGCGTGAATGGGAGGAGAATGCTGGCAAAGAAGACTGAGAAGGCATGGTCAGGTGGGGAGGCAGTGCCATCGAAACCGAGGGAGGATGCCCACAGGTGAGACGGGCATGGACACTCTATGAAGAACCACGGACTCAGCAAGGCTTCTATAACAAGGAAAGGACAACAGATGAAACATTCAAAAGAAAAGTCATTAAAATCAGGACACTAAATTAGAAAGGACAAAATTTACTCGTGGGGTGAGGTTGTGATCCTGCCGGTGGATAGGGGCCCTGGCGGCAGTGCACTGGAAGTTGCCTGCTTTAACGGACATGGATCCTCCCACCAGAGGCCGGTTTAATTGGTCTGGTGTCCAAAGCTCCCCCAGGTGATTCCAATGAGAAGCTAAGCCTGAGAGGCACTGCCACACCTCCTGGGTGGCCCTGGCCACCCCACCCCCTCATTTCTTTCTGCTCCCCAGAGCGCATGTTGTCACTGCCAGCCCACCCCAAGCAGAAGGGTTCTCCTCTGTCAAAGCCTCTGAGGCAGCAGAACAGGAGGCTGGAAGAGCCGCCCCGCCCCAGGAAAGGTGCCTGGGGCTGCCTCTGGCCCAAGCCTCTTGACTTTCAATCCAGCAGCATTTTTTCTTCATTGCTTATTCCAGATGGAGTTATGGAAAATAAGAAACAAAAACATGCTCTGCTCTTGGTTCAATTAAGATAAGGCTGGGGTTTTTTAAAGGAAAGAGAAAACACAAAGGAATTCATAGGACGGATTTGGAATTTTTGAAGTTTCTGATCAAAAGCAAAGTCTGCCCTCAGCTGAGTCTAGCACAGTCTGGGGGAACCTTCCCCATTTCTCGCCTCACTCTGTCCCAGCCGCACTACCTGCAAAGGAACTGACTGCAACCTTAAGACAGAAGGAGTCCCACTCATAAGAAAATTTCAATAAATTTGGGTTAAAACAATGTGCAGTGATTAGAATCCTGAGTTCTTATTACAGGTGTGTTTAAGTTTCTGTTTTTGAGATGAGGTCTTGCCCTCCGATTGTAGGCAATCTGCACACACGGCCCTCTGGGAAAAACAATGGGGCGCATACAACCGAAAGTGTTCCTTCCCAGGATGGTCCTGGAATTGGGCAAAATCTGCAACGTTTTATCATCTTTTTAAACAATGTTTAATTAGGGGGAAAAAGGGCTTGAGTGCAGGGCCCCTCCGCCCCTTCAAGGGAAGTAACCTTCCAGTCCATTCCAACACCTGGCTGCCCCCAACCTGAGGCGCCATAGAAACAGAAACAATCGTGGGGCTGCAAGGCGACCCTTCCTGCAGGGAGAATAGCCCCTGACGTGCAGAGCTGGCTCTGAGAGGAAACGAGCCTGAGAAGGAGGAAATGGAGAGAGGAAGCTACGCCCTGGCTCTGCCGATAGAGGCCATTTACATGGCAGACAACAGAACGTGGCCTCGGGCTGCAGATAAACACCCATCTGCAGCTGAAACCCAGGCCTGACCCGCACCAGCTAACGCGATACCGTGAAACACAGCATGGGTCTCAGTCTTCCCTTCCCTATTCCCAGCTCTAGCTGTGCATAATTATGCCAGTTCTATTTAAAAACAGAGCAGAAGACTAAGACTTCCTTCAACTAAATTAATTGTAGTTATCAATTGTTATTTCTCTAATTGTCCAGAATTGTCTTTGAAAAAAGAAACTCTTTCTCTCTGAAGTGTCCAAATAACGGCTGCATTCATTGGATGAGCACATGCTGGCATGTTACACCCAGTATCTCAGTGAAGCCTCAGGGTGGGGGGAGGGAGCAGTCCCATCTCACAGGTGAACAAACTGAGGCTGTGCAGTAGTCAATGGGGGTGCCACTCTGCAAGAACGCCAGAGCTTTGTCACTCCTCACTGTATGCCCAAAGATCTCGTGTAAAACATTAAGTGCAATTTCTATAATGCACCTTTTCCCCTCATTCATTCATAATGTTTTCAACGCTAAACTTAGGGCCTCATAAGGCTCTTTTTCACTCTTAGAATCAGAAGGGCTGTTCGATAACTTTACTCACATCTTTTATCAGTGCTCAAGCTTTTGATTTAAAATTACTTCAACATTTCCTGAACAAAAACAGATATAATTCAGAAACCCTGAAATTTAAGTAAAACAAGGAAAGTATAGACATTAAGTAAATCAAAAACAGTCTTCTATTAATATTTTTTCAAAGTGGTTAATTTTTTAAATGGAGACCCGAACAATGAGATTCTCTTTCAGATTGCACTATTTAAACAAACCAACAAAACCATTTGGAGGCAAAAATAAAAAAATTTAAGCCCTGGCTGGTGTAGCTCAGTGGATTTAGCATGGGCCTGCGAAGCAGACGATCGCGGTTCGATTCCCAGTCAGGGCACATGCCTGGGTTGCAGGCCAGTTCCAAGCAGGGGCCAGTTCCCAGCAGGGGATGCACCAGAAGCAACCATACATTGATGTTTCTCTCCTTCTCTCCTTCCCTTCCCCTCTAAAAATAAATGAATAAAATTAAAAAAATAAATAAATGAAAAATAAAAAAATTTAAAACCACCTGTGGCTGGAACTCTGTAACTAAAACCAAAGGTTGGTGAATGACCTGTATCTCCGCCCGGATAATCTGGACAAATTATTGAATCTTCTCAACCTTCTAAGAGCCACTTCTCAGGGTTGTAGGGCTCAGTGAGGTGACTTGGCAAGTTTGGCACCTCGCAAATGCTCAGTTCGTGTGGGACCAGCTGTGGGAGGACTTTTGGTGCTGAATGACAGCTGTCTTAGGGAGCTTCTAAAGCCCCTTTAAAAAAAAATTATTTATCTTTAGAGAGGAAGGGAAGGAGAGAGGGAGAAAATTATCAATGTATGGTTGCCTCTCATGTGTCCCCTGCCGGGTACTGGCCTGCAACCCAGGCACGTGCCCTTACTGGGAATCAAACCTCGATCCCTTGGTTTGCAGGCCCACACTCAATCCACTGAGCTACGCCAGCCAGGGCAAAGACCATTTTAATGCTTAGGTTTTTTCTTGGTGGCTAAAACCCTGAAAGCTAAATTATACAGAATATTTCTACTAATTGTTTAGCTACAATGATCCTGCTAATTTGTCAGAAAAACGAAGAAGTTTATACTATTATTGCCTCGTATTTATAGTCATATCTTTTTATGAACAATTCTTTGAATAAATCTAAGTGAGAATGTCTTCATAAATTTATACATTTTTAGCTTTTAAAAGTTGAGAGCAAAGTCTTGGAAGAGATCCAGGGCACCTGGATCCCAGTTACGTGGCCATAGGGAAGTACCACAGCCTCTTCATCTCTGTCTCTTCCTCTGTTCCTGAGGCCAGCGATGTTTCTAATTCTCTAATTCATGACACTTACCACACCTTTCTTTAAGATTTTTTTTCCCAATGACACTATTACAGATGTCCCCCAACCACACTTTTTGGTGACATGCTTTCTTCTGTGCTGGTGTTAGGTTTGTCACCCTCCGGGCTGTGAGGGTCACAGGACCCCGACCATGCAGGTTCTGTGCTCTGTACGCCCAGCTTCCGGCACAGGGCCTGGTGCTTGGTAAAGAAATACTGGTTGGATGTTATAACACAGCCTCGTGAACAGTGTTATATACACCCAAGGTTTTGTAAAATCAGATATGTTGCTTCCACTTCACAGGCACTAAAAAGGCAGGACAGAGATGGGTGGTCCAGAGTTAAATCATTAGCACTGTCTCCTTCTCCTACAGAAATGCTGAAACAAACTGGAAAGAAATCCCTAATGTTTCTGAAGAAATATGGGGCATTTCTGAACTTGGACTTGACAGCAAATCGCAAGGAGCAAACTGAACAAAAAAGGTAAAAGTTAAAAAAAACAAACCAGCAGCAAAACTTTTATTCCCAGCTTCCGATATACTCACTTCCTGTTATTCTGTCCAGCTGTGTAACCTAAGGGTAAAATAAGACGTATATTCTCTACACTGACTAAGAAAGTGCTTTTTAATATATTTTAATATATTTTACATGAACAAACTTTAAAACTCACCAATATTTTTAAGAGCATAGAGAAAATCTAGTAATTAAAAAAGTAATTGATATTTTAATAAGCTTGAATTTATTCTCCAATTGATTAATTCCATATTCCTAAATGAATTTATTCATGTAAGTGATTTAAAACAGAGCCTAGAACTTAATAAATGCTTGAATATTAAATGCTAGCTATTATTATGATTATATTTATTTCACATGGGGCAATTTTGACTTTCCACTATAACCCTCTTTACGAGTCTCAGTGGAACAGGGACTTACTTATCACAGTTCAAAGTGCTTTTGCGCATCATTTCTTGTCTTGGGGGAACCTGTGTAGGAAGCAGACCACCCCACCTGGAATGGGAAGATCTGAGTCTTAATTTTTGCTCTGTCTCTGAAGAAAAGGTTTGTGAGCATAGGCAAGTTAGAATCTCTGTAACCAGGGGATAGTACTGGAGTCCCTAGTTGATAGAGTTTTGTGAGGATTACTTGGAAAAAAAGATATATTCATTTTTAAAAAGCACAGCACTTTCCCGATGTTCAGTGTGGCCCCGCAAATGAGCAGCTGGGCCAGTTCAGATAAACGATTTATTCTAGTGAGAAAGAGAGAGGAAACTGAAAACCAAAGGACAAGGAAAGGTGAATTAAAGGGAAGCATTGTTTTTTTAGAATATCTTTTTCTTCAATTTATGTGAAAGTAGTTCTTTTCTCCTATTTCTTTCAAGACTCCAGTATTTTAAAAAATTCTGAGTAAGTTCATTTTCACTTCCTTTCATTCACAGATTTCATTAGAGGTCACAGTCCAGTGACCTTCAGGGTCACAGCCTGGCCAGGGTACACCCTCTGCAAACCCAGGCCTTATCTCTGCAAGCACAGCCAGGAAGCAGGGCTTTCCTGTGGCAGCTCGTTTTCATTCTGAAGCCTGTCTCGACCCTTCCAGGGTGCTGCTGTTACCTGTCTGCTACACTCTTCTGAGACTAAGCTTATGGAGTCTGAGCCTGACAGCTCGTCAATCTGTTTTTAAACAGAAGAGACCGTCTTTAATGTGTGACCAGGCATGAAATCCACGACACTCAAACAAGGCTACCTTGAGTCAGCACTTGGAAGCTTTCTTTCTCATTATGGATTAAAGAATGTTTAAGGACAATTAGGTGAATAAGTAACTTACTCTAATATTCACAAATAAAGCTAAATACCTAGTAAGGATATCATTTTAAAGTATTATTTACACTAATTTAAGAGAATTATGAACAAAAGGGAAAAGTTATTTTTTTAAGGGTAAAGCTTGATATCAAAAATGACAGGGTGATTGCTTAGCTTACAAGTTGGAATTGTCCCACTTAAAAAGTTACAAGATTGTCAATTAGTTTTAGCAGGTTTCTCTTGAATAGCTTGGCTCACGCCAGTGATTGGTAATCATTCCTTAGTAACTAAATGTTTTGCTCTAATGTTGCAGAGCTTGTTGAGAAATCAGTCGTCTGCCGTCTGCCACAACACGGAGGACTGTGTCTTTTTGCATCCTTCAACTTAAAATCTTTTAGGTGTGTATGAGTCCTTTGGTGCAGATTTTCAACTCCCATGATGGATGTCAAAGCTTTGAAACTGGGGAAATAATGTGTGGAAGTATCTTAAAACTAAAGATCACATCCTAAGCAGGTCTGCACACTCACCATGGAAGAGAGTCATTTTATACAGAATTAGAAAGACTGTAAAGACGCCTGAAAAGTCTAAAACTGAAGGGTACGAACTACACAGGAAGCTAACTAGGTGTCTGACTTCAGTTTTGGGTATCATTTCTGTTCCTTCCAGTTGGCAGGGTCTGGTTAAATCGCTTCACCCCTTCCCCAAACAGACAGCGGTCACTGTTTTACACACTCCAGTTGAGTGTGAGATTCCTGCCCCAACTAAGCAGCTCTTGGTTACAAACCTGTTATCATCTGCTGCGCGTCATAGGGTTCCATGTAGCCATCGTTCTCCCCCACTCTCTCTGCATCCCTTTGACCTTTTGTCCGTTTGGCATCGTACGGGTCAGCATAGTCTTCTAAAATGATGACCTGGAAAGGAGCCGAGCAGGAGAGTTGCTCAGGACTATCATATGCCAGAATGGCCCCGGACAGTCTGCTGATCTGAACAGACAGCGACATCTCCAAGGTGGAGAGCTTTTGCACTTGATCATATTATTCACCCACCTGATCTTTTTTTTGTAGTATAATTGACTGTTAGCACATCTAAACTCTGCTTATCCCCAAGACTCTTTTCACCTCTTTTTTTTTCCCTAAGCAATAAAGCTTTTGCTGAGTTAAAGGATAGCAGGGGTGGGTGGAAGCGAGGGGGGATGTCTACTGCTTGAGAGCATAATACATGAGCTGGCCTACCCACTTTCCCATGATTTTGGTCTTTTTAGTGCCAGCACGATGAGCAACATAGTCGCAGTGAATCAGTCAATCACTCTGGCACCACTGCACATCCACCAGCACTGGTTAGGGAATCAAAACAAGACCAAGAACTGCTTTTTGTCCTCAAGAAATTTGTAACAGCTCTAAAGAGACATGCTTCATAATAAGAAATAGGTCAGAACTAAACAGTATTTTGGGAATTCAAGGTTCAATAATTCACAGGCAGACTTATTCTCATAGGCTACAGTCAGACAGCGTTTTTATCCATATTTGTGTCAGAAAGCACCTGTTCTTCCCCAAATGCAAAGGGGCCTGGAAAGGTGGTGCGTGTGCAAGGGCTCTGTTCTGCAGCAGCTGTGTGACTAGGTGGGGGTAAGGCAAGAAACCCCTTCTCTGGGAAGAAGCCTGCTTCTCAATCTCTGATTACATTCTCCAAAGAGTTCACATTAGAAGGACCGCTGGAGCTGGCAGGAAGAATTTGTATGAACAGAGAGAAGTGAGGAAGAGGCTGCCGCCTGGATGGGAGCCCTCCGCCTGGGAGTAAGAAACTCAGATGTCCAGAAGTGACAACCATGGAAATAACCAGGCAAGCACTGCCGAGGACTGCAACTGCCCCTCACTCCCCGACTCCACTCTTCTGACTGCCCAGCATGGTACTGCGCTCCCCAAGTACAGGAGGTACAGGAAGTGTGACATGCAGCCGCTGGCTGCGAGGTACCTATGATCTAGTCAGTCAGGTAGATTACTAATATCTGGACCAGCTGGGTCCTTGGCAGTCTTTGCACAGCTCTCCCGCGGCTCTGCCTGGCCCAGGGTAAGGGAAAGAATGAACAGAAGTGCCCAATGCAGACACGCATGGTCTGTGCTACTGGCTCCTGACTCCATCCAGGCAGGCAGCATGTCTGAAGCCTAGGCAAGAGGAGATTCAAGTTCCCACAACAGGAAGTGATGCCCGTGGCTGGAGTCTGAAAGCTCAGCTTGAACTCTTCTCCGGCCCTCTTCCACAGAGAAGAGTGGATTTTCTTTGTTCCATCCTGTATCCCCTGCAGAGCCCCGTGTCGCTCATCCTCTATGGCTGCTGCACAGCAAATGGTCAGGGCCTGAATGAAAGGGCTGTGACCTTGGGGTGCTAGTGAAGCTCAGAGAAGCCCTTTACAAGGTGGAGCTTCTGAGCTGGGGGTAGGGTAGCCCCGGCTGGCCAACCCATTTTCTGGCGCTTTACAGGTTACCATTCCTTATGCTCAAGAAAAATTAGAATTACACAGTCTTGCTTTGCACCCCCCCTCCCCGCCCTGGAATGTTGACATTAAATAAGCCACCACCTAACCTACATGGGCACCAAATTGAACAAGGCAGGAAGGTTTCATTCAATTACTGTTATAAACTGCTAACAAAATGAAATAGATAGTAAATTTCTGCAAAGTTCCCCATCCTTAGAATGAGAATTTTTCGAGATAAAAAATGAACGTTTTTAAACAGTCACTTAGAAGTCACCGAATGTTAGGGGAGAAACATGTCCTGCGCTTCTCTGTGGCCGAGGAACCCCACCTGGGGGTTGGCAGGTCCGCCAGCTCCTGCCTAGTCTTTCGACTCAGTAGGGGGCAGGTGGTCCAGGGCAGACTGTGCTCTTACCGTGTCTTGCTGCTTAATACTCTTGCCTTTGTCCAGTTCAGGGCCCAGGGAAGAAGGGGAAGAGGACGCAGAGGAAGAGCTGCTACTGCTGCTGCTGCTACTGCTGCTGGGGTAGCTGCTCTTCCCATTCTTCTCCTGAGTATCTACCTTGATGAGCCTGTTGATGTAGGTGCTGCATCCTGAGCTCTTGGCCGCGCCCCGGTGGGGCTCCTCCTCGGTGGCCCGAGAGTTCTTGCGGCTCTTGCCCGCGGCGGCCTGAATCAGCCCCTGCAGGCTGTCCCGGGACAGCCGGCTGTCCTTGGAGAGGCCGATGCCGGCCCTGCCACCCCCCAGCTCGGCCGCCGAGTTCTTGCGGCCCTTGCCGGGGGTGGGCCCTGCGCCGCCCGCCTCCAAGTTCTTGCGCAGTTTGCCGCCTCCACCACCACCAGGCTTGGCCCGCTCCGACACCGTCTTCAGGTTCAAGGGAAACTCCTTGAACCACTTGGCCGCCATGAGGGGGGCCCAGCCTGCGCGGCTCCGGAGCGTCGTGGCCGGGGAGCAGGTGAACAAGGAGGTGCAGCCCAGACACAGAGAGGTTCCAGGGGCCGGGGGCCACTGCATTCCCCGGGGCTGGGGCGCTGGAGGCCGTGACCAGACCCTGCGACGGCTGCTCCGTGTGTCCCCAGCCGGTGTTCGTCTACGCCCGGCAGGGTGGGGCCCCTCCGGCCCGGGGCGGGGGGCCCAGGGCGCCGAGCGGGCGGGCGCGGGCTGCTGCTCCGGACACGGACGGCGACAGGGACAACGCACCGGGGCCCCGCCCGGGCTCCTCTTCAGGGCCTGCACGGACAGGGGGCTTCCCCTGCGTTTTCCTCCCGGAGTAGGAGAGGCCTGGCCCACGGAAGCCCCGAGACAGCCCTGCCCACACTCCCAGGGACTAGAGTGCACACAGAGGAGACAGTGGGAGTGTCCCGGCGCCTGGACAAACGGCGGACCGACGGCGGGCGGCCCACCCCCTCCGCGCGCCCCACCCCTCGGCGGTGGCACCTCCCAGCTGCGCCACTGCGCGCACCCCTCCCGCCCAGATAAGGGGGCGGTGGGTGAGGAGCTTATGCAGTGATACGTCTTGGGGGTGCACGTTAGGGAGAAGGTGGCAGCAGCCACGCCGCGGAGCTTAGAGTCCCCCACTTCTCCACCGAGCGAGTATCGCCCAGGCGCTGCCTTCAAATGTGCCCAGGGTGCGCCACGTGCTTCTCTCCCACCCCAGAAGCAACCCAGTCGCTCCCCAGGGGGCCAGGTGACGTGGCTTTGCTCCCTCCACGTCCTCTGTAAACGTTATTTTCGGTGTGTGCAGTGAGGGGCAGGGTGGGAGTGCCTAATAGAAATGGGTGTAGAGGCAGTGGCAAAGCACCACTCCGCGCCTTGAAGATCGGGCTCTGGCCGACAGCCCCGGCTGCGGCCATTGCCCCAGGATTGGCTGCTGGGTAGTGGCCCACCCCGCACCCGACACCCCACAGGTCTGGAAGGAGGCGGAGCACGTAGCGATAAGGCTGGAAGGCTCCTCGTAGGGACTGCGGAGTGGACTCCCCTGACCCAGGAGAGGTACTTGGTTCCAGGTCCTGGGGTGTGGGGTGAGGGGTGGTGGGGATAGGGGCATTGGGAGTCAGTTGTGCAGCTCGCACCCCTAGTTCCACTCTGTTGGCAGGGCAAGCTGTTGCCAAAGGGCTGGCTGGTAGGTTGCAAAGGGGGCTCTGCAGAATTTTTTGGCGGGGATGGTGGGAACGGTGGGGATGGTGTGTGGGCGTGGGCAGCAGTGACCGAAGGTGTATAGGTGGGGAGGACTTTGTGAAGAACTGTGGGTCACTCTACGTGAAAAGGGGTCTCTGCAATCCCCCTCCTTTTTGAAGCAATATGAAAACTTTTTTTAGCTTAAAAAACCCTAAATGTGCCAGAGTCTCACGTAAGTATGTTCTAAATCCTCGCTATAACCCATGGGGACTGAGTGATCCTGGCCACCCATCGGCCTCCTCTGCGTGAGTGGTGCTTTGTGAGCTGGCGTGGCGAAAGAAATGCCTGCGTAGATCAGCCAGGTCTTAAAAATCTTTCTTGACTTTTTAGAAAAACTTTATTGAGATATAAGTTGTACACCATAAAATTCACCTGTTTTAAGTGTACAGTGAAAAGATATTTAATATATTTACAGTACAGCCGCCACCACAATCTAAATTTAGAACATTTCTATCACCTCAGAAGGAAACCTTCTGAGATTTGCCTATTTTGGACTTTCTATATAAGTGGAGTAATAGAACATTTGGCCTTTGTGTCTGGCTTCTTTCATTTAGCATCGTGTTTTTGAGATTCATCTATGTTGTAGCACTGTCAATACTTTATTCCTTTTACACTGCTGAATAAAACTCCGTTATATGGATATACCACTTTTTACTGGTCCATTCATACACCAGTTGCTGGACAGTTGGGTTGTTTCCACTTCGTGTCTATTATGATCAGTCAGTGCTGCTGTGGACACTCACGAGCAGGTCTTTGTGTGGACATAAGACTCAAATTCTCTGAAGAAGGCACCCGAGAGTGGAATTCCTGGGTCATATGGAATTCCTGCTTAACTTTTCCATAAACTGCTGCAAACTGTTTTTGCAAAGTGGCCACACCATTTTACATTCTAACCAGCAATATGAGGGTTCCTGTTTTTTCACATCCTCAACACATTATTTTTTTAAAGATTTTATTTATTTACTTTTAGAGAGAGTAAAGAAAGGAAGGAAGAAAGGGAGAGAAACATCAGTGTGCAAGAGATACAGGACTGGTTGCCTCTCGCACACCCCCAACTGGGGACCTGGCCTGCAACCCAGGCATGTGCCCTGACTGGGAATCAAACCAGTGACCTTTCTGTTTGCAGGCTAGTGCCCAGTCCATTGACCCTCACCAGCCAGGGCCTCAACGCATTGCCATCTGTCCTTTTTATTATAGCCTTCCTAGTGGGTGTGAGGTGGTTTCACTGTGGTTTTGATCTGCATTTTCCTAATGACTAAGGATGTTGAGGATCTTTTCCTGTGCTTATTGGCTGTCTGTGTATCTCTGGAGAAATGTCTATCAGATCGTTTGTCCACTTTCTAATTGGTTTCTTTATCCTCTTGTTATTGTTATAGGATTTTTAATATATTCTTTGGGTTTTTTAAAAAAACACAAATAAAATACTTCTCCAGACCAAGGAATAGAGTGGAAACGCATGATTTTGGAGTCATGTGATCTGAATTCTAAAAACAGCTTCTCCATTAATGAGCATAGATGGACAAATTACCAGGTTATTGTCTTTGAGCCTCCAGAACTTCATCTGTACAATGGGATAATAATGTCTAGCTCTTAAAGTTCCCAGTGAGAATTAAATGAGACCATGTGTATTAGCTGTTAGCACCTGGCAGGCCCTTAAAGGCATCTTGGAAAGATTTACGGGCCTTTGCTTGGGAAGTGTTGACACCTGCCCTGTTCCGGAAGCCTGTAGACTTCTTTTGTGGATGACTAGGATATTGGGACAAACACCCATAATCCTGATTCTGCGCATAAACCTCTCAGTTTTTATATGTTCATATCTCCATTTTTAATGATCTTTTAGTTCTATTTACTTTTAGTTGCAGCTAAAGCTATTGTTTTCTTCCACAGCTGGGAACAATTTAGAGGAGTTACCACTTTTTAAAAAATCTGATGTCTTAATTTATGTTTCTTATGAAATAAAGAAATCCTTTAAAATGACTTGGACAGCCTTTGTATCTGTAGGGAAAAAACAAGGCTTTGGAGTCAGAGACCTGTGTTACCTCAGTATCTTTTACAATCTTAAGCAGATCATCTGATGTCCTTGAGCTTTTTGGCTTTGGCAACACACCTCGATGGGGACTGAACCTGCAGCCCAGGTTTTGTGCCTTGACTGGCAATCAAACCTGCGACTTTTCAGTTACAGGATGATGCTCCAACCAGCTGAGCCACACTGGTCAGGGTGACAGTAGTATTTCTGACCCCAGGCATTTTACTCTTTGGGGAGGCCAGACTAATGAACCTGAGATAATTATAGAGACATGTAAACATTTAAAATTTGTAGTAAGTTCAATTGAGGTATAGATGCAAGGAAAATGGAAATGTAATTTACTAAATTAAAGCGTTCCTAGACTTTTTTGGGGGAGCATCTACTATACGCAAAATAATGTGCTTTAAGTTCAGCATGCTTAGAGAGAAATGACCAAGCCTTTGCACTCAAGGAGCCTAATCTTGGAAGAATGAGAGAAACTGACTTTTGTGGGGCCCCTGCTGCATGCTAGACATTTTTCAAAAATTTCCTGGTCTCTGTGCCCCCTTGCCAACCAGTTAAACTCAACCTTGCCTGCCCAAGTTCTATTTTATTCCTCTTACACCACTTACTATATATATATGTGTATATATATATATATATAAAAGATTTTATTGATTTTTAGAGAGAAGGGAAGGAAGGGAGACAGGGAGAGAAACGTCAGTGTGTGCCTCTTATGCACCCCCTACTGGGGACCTGACTAGGCATCAAATCAGTGACCCTTTGGTTTGCAGGCTGGCACTCAATCCACCGAGCCACACCAGCCAGGGTACCACTTACTATATATTAATTACAGAAATGCTCCAGGAAATAGGCTAAATGCTTCTTTCAGGTGGTTTTATTAAATTCTTATAGTAACTCTGAGTGATGAGTGTTACCTTCACCTTGGAGATGAGGCGGGCAAGTCTGTACGAGGTCCAGGTACATAGACCTGGTGAGTGGTCAACCAAGAGTTGAATCCATATCTAGTTTCCCTGAAGTACCAAACCATATAATCAATAAGACATATAAATAACTCACAATAGTAAAAGATGGATCTATTATGTTTTAATTAGACAAAGAGAGAAGAAAATGGTATTGGGGCATAGAATGAAGACATTCATTTTGACCTAATTAGTGAAATCATATTCAATCAAAGGGGGGTGGGCTGGGGGATTCTTAGAACCTGGTCCCCTTTCTGTTCCTGGTAGCTGGTAGAACCTGGTAGTGGACAGTGGAACGGGGACAGAGCCCCTGCAGGCAGTTTCTGCAGTGGTCCGGGGAGGGGGGCGAGGTCCTCAGCAACTCTGCCAGCTCTGTCCAGTTGCAAGGCCCAGCTTCCAGGTCTGCCGGGGCCCTGCCGTGCTCCACAGTGATGGAGGGGACCTTTGGCCCTCACCCCCTCGAAAGGAAACCAGCACCCTTTCCCCCAAACCTGTAAACTCAGACCAGCCTCGTCGGAAATTCTTGAGCTAATGGGATTTTAGAAAGAAATTTCTGAGAACAACTCTAATGTCCTGTGAAGCCTTGTAACTTTTCTCTCCCTGCAAACCAACAAATTAGCCTGTAGCAGTTTCACGGTTGTAGAAGATGAAAGTTGTGAGTCAGAGATGAAGGGTGATTTACTGCTCATGGCAATAACTTAGCCAGCGTCTTTTTCCATTGTATTAATGTTTCTTTTTTACACAGAGATGAATCACATACCACACAATTCACTATTCTAAAGCACACAGTTAGTGGTTTTGAGTATATGCACAAGGATGTACAACCTTCACCACTAATTCTGGAATGTTTTCATTATCCTCAAAATAAGTCCCATACCCATTAGCAGTTTCTCCTCTTTCCTCCTTCCTCCCGGTCCCCAGAAACCATCAGTCTGCTTTCTGTCTCTGTGGCTGTGTCTGTCCTGGACATTTCCTGTAAGTGGAGTCATCCAACATGTGGCAATTCTTTGTCTTCCTCTGCTTCACGTTTCCAGGGTTCATCCACGTTGTGCTCCTCCGTGCTGCACTCCTTTTTATGGCCGGGTGATATTGTATTACATGGATATGCCGCCATTTGTGTATCGGTTCATCATTTGATGGACTCCTGGGTTTCCAGTTTTTTACTATTATGC